TATCGGAATGACCATATCAATTCTATATATTTTAGAAAATTATTTGAGGAAGAATCCCCTCGGACCTTCATTTGGTGGTTATAGAGCTTCCTCAACGCTTCCGTATTTCGATACTGAACCTCGACACCCATTAAATCAGCCTGGGCCCAATATGTATCTCCAGTTTTAACAGTCTGTCCTCTCGACTGATTTCTCTGTTCTCTTGACCGAGTTCGTTGTACTCTCGACTGATTTCTCTGTTTCTCTGTTCTCTCGACTGATTTCTCTGTTTCTCTGTTCTCTCGACTGATTTCTATGGAAAAATAAGCCGAGGCGCCAAATGCTATAAACTACTCAATTAAAAATTGCCTAACAGCAATAAAAAAAACAGTAGGTAAATGCTGCTGTCAATGTAAAATTTCCCTTGTTGCACACTGCATGATATTGTCTTCACTTGACCAAGTTCGATGAGGAAATGCAAGACTTTGGAAGTGAAAGTGGAATAAATTTATCATTTTGTATGGCCCGAGGCCAGAGAGAGAAGAAAGGGGAGGCATAGGCCAAAAATTACCGCCTATATACACCATTACATGAGTAAAAAATGAAGCTTTTAATGTATGAGCTAAAGTTTATTGTGAAAGAAAGAATAAACAGACATAAGACAAGACAGAGGCAAACCAATCGACAGAATCGACCTTCATTCATTACATATTTTACATATCACATTGTTATTAATATTAGGCTGTAGGCAGTAAAATTCCGACTGACAAACCATTATATAGAGAATTTCTCATGGTTACATATTGGAGCATAATCCCTTCTATCTTAAGCCATGGCTATGTGGTCTGTTAATATTCATTAATATGGTTTAGCAGTCCGAATTTATACTCCCTTTTAATTAAGCTTTGAAATCAATAAATTTGAAATGAATATTATAATTGACGATTTAAATCATAGAGGTCTAAGCTATCATTCCTTTTCTAAACTGGAAACAAGTCTAATGAGGCATGTACCGAATATTTGCGTGTATAGGGAGCAGTTTTTTTACATTAAAAGGGCTTGCCAAACAGGATGTGCACATTATAGCCAATGGCGACAAATTCTACACAGAATTATATTTTCAATAGCATGCAGTCAAATGCAACTTGGTTAAATCCTTGGCAAACCATCTTACAATGTATTTAGATGGAAAGTTTTTCTTCAGAAACATGGGGACTAAAGTTTTTTTTTGTCTTCACTTAACCAAATACTTTTCTTAAAGGAATGAAGTTCATACTTTTGTAATTCATGTTTGTTTATAAATTATACATCAAAACTGAAATACATTTACAATCGTACACGTTTTCAAGCCATCTGAAGCTCATCAAAACCAATTTGTGAATGTGCAGCACGGTAACAAAAGAACCCCATTTGAAGAATCTTATGACCTCTTTCATTTTCAACGAAACACAAAGTGTTCACCAATTACAAAAACAACGAGAAAATGTATTTGCTGTTAAAATAACACTCATAAATTTTAAGCATAAAATAAGTTAAACCATTAAATTTAACATCATAAGCATACTTAAATGTTCTTCTAAAATGTACAAAATCGTTCCATTGAACTTGCATGCTAGAAACATAGTTATATCTATGGTACCCCATATTGTGTTGGGATCTATCTCTCTTCAAGAAAGAGGCTGCAAAAATGTACCTTTTCAGCCACAAGATTTTACTGGCTTCAAGAGAGCACAAAACTCAGTCATTTCATTCATCTTACAGTAGATCTTTTGCAGGATGTGTCCATGGACTCAGCCAGTTCCAGTAAGAAACCTCCATATGCAAATTCAAGACATTTTGATCTAGACTTGGGTCCAGTTTATCAAGACTATTTTAATATACAAATAATAAGTGCACTTTAACAATGAAAGCCAAAACAGAAACAAATTCTTAACAATGAAAGCAGACAACAATCAAGGCTTGAAAATTAAAATTCCACGATTTTCTGACAGTCAATGTAGAGTTACTTTTTGAAAATCTGAGCTCAGAGCTAAGCCAATGGATGTTATTCTTAGCATAATAATTCTGCAATAGACAGAGCTTAATGGGTGAAAATCCCAATTTTTTTTCAATAGTTATCTAGCAAAGTCTGTCATCAAATTAATTATATTCTTGCAATAATCTTACAAATAATTATTCATTATGTACATCTGACTTGATTCACTTGAAAATTATGTACACAATCATCTCACAACAAACATTTTCACCTTCCATTTTAGAGAGCATTCTTTTAAACAGGGGAGACAACTATAACTAACTAATTAATTAACTTTTGAAAGATCATTCTGCATACAAGACATATTCATCTAGATTTTACCCCTTGATTGACCAATGTTTTCAAGGTTTATTCAAAAAAAACTTTTACTTAATGCTTTCAAAATCAAAAGCTCTCCATTGCTCCTTGAATATGCCTCTTTCTATAGGTTTCCCTTTTCTTATTAATTATTTTCATTCCCTTCTCTGAATATGGAAAAGATATAGCTATAATACATATAAAGCAATTCAAACCTTTAAAGTGTAATGTCAAAGTTCAAACAAAGCACAAATGTTAATTTTTTTAAAAAATAAGGAGACATATTCAAAATTATCTTTTGCTTAGAAATGCTTTAAAATGGCTGTGCAGACTATTGTTAAAACAAGCACTTTAAGATCATTCATTTTCCCATTGCACACAAATCTATAGAATTATGTGGAAAATTTGTGAGAGCAATCCTAGTTGGATGACATAAACAGCATTCGGTTACAACTCTATCAAAAAGTGAACTAATTTGAAATTTTGTTATCATTAGCTTCATTTACTTTTCTCAAAGAATTTGATATACTTTCAAAACACAGCATGTAAAATCAACCCAAACAGCCACTTTTTGTACAATTTGAAGATATGAAAAAAAAGTTTATTTTTAAAAGATTGATCTTACTTAATGTATATAACTAATTAAAATATAAAGTAATATAAAAGGGCAAAAATTTTGTGATATCAAAAAAGTGATATCAAGTGGGTAATATCAACCAAAAGAGTTTCTCAAAGCGCGCATTGTATTCGCAATTATATAGTATATAACTAATGAAATAAGTAGCCAAATAGAAAAGTTTTTAAATACATCAAAGATTCAATTCATTTGTTAATTGAATATTAATTAAGCAATAAATTAAAAAGTAAATAAAATATAAAATTTCTTAATTAATTATGAGATTCACTTAAAAGGAGACAAAAAACTACCTCAGATTTCAAATTGTGAATGGCTTCATATGTTAGAAGTTGCCTTATAATACAAATAAAGTCAACTGTTTTGTGTTATTTCGATGCATGATAACAAATAAATAAGTTATAAGTAGATAGCACTAAATGATTTTAAAGTTATAAATCATAAATATAACAGAAAGATCATCCCTTCATTTGATTCTATGCCTTTGGTTATTTGGCTATTTATTTTGGTTTTGAGCCAAGCTTTCAAATAATTTCTTGTAAATTCCCTTTACAATTTTTTCACAACTTTGAGAATCATTTTAAAAAATTCAAATTCTAACATTCAAATCTCAAAAATTATTTTTTTTAATTTTCTAATTTTTTTCAAATTAAAAGAATTAACGCAATTGAAGGGATGTTTTAAAATGCAGAATTAAATTAATCTTTACACTATGTGATTAAATAAAAAGAGAGCATTTAGGTGATGTCAAAGGCTGTGTATACCATAATGCTGAAAGTCTTAAATAATTAAAAGACAAAAATTGATTAAATTAAAAAAGAAAATATTGGATAAATTTTTACAGAACTCCTCTATTACGAATATGGACAAAGTTTTCTCGATAAGTAGACGCTGGCACTAATCCTGATTATCTCAAAGACCAGAAAATCACTAAATTTACATCGCAATTACATCAGAACCTGCAATATATAAAGAATGACAAAAATTAAAGGCGATATCCTACACAAAAATCATGAACTCACAGAATATGTCACAAATTTGTAACAAGGTAAGACATTCAAAACACATCTCTTAAATGACCCATTTGACATGAATATTATGATTGCTTTCTTGTTTTTTATCTTTTTTAATTTATTTCCAGTATAAAGTACTCATTGTTATAATGATTCCAAATTGTGGGATAGCAAAATCCAAAGTAGAGCAATATGACAGCCACTTATGATTTTGTTATACCACAATTGATCACTGCTTTAAAAAAGGTAGAAAGTGATCCTACAGTACATGCTTTGATTGGTTAAATATAACAGGACTGTGGTACAAAACTTGTCAGATTATAATGAAGTCGAAAATATCAGAATTTTTTTATATTAGATTGAAATTACATATAGCCTATAACTTGAAGTCATAAAGCAGGTAGAAAAAACTATGGACTTCAAATGGACAAAAATAGCAGTGACTGTTTTTAAGATTTTTTTTAAAAGACATAATGAAACATATTATTTTTTGGCCTTAAAGGGTCAGGTGCTCCATTCATACTTTGGTGTCAGAAACAGGAATTTTTTAGCTACGCCAATCAGCAATAGTGTTCACAGCTCACCGTCGAAATTTGAGCCTTCAAATCAATGTGTATCCAGAATTAACTGCGTTGAATGTTAAAATGAATACTCGTCAATTTAAGATATATATAGAAGTAGTGAGCAAAATTCCTAGTTTGAAGTATTTTTAAAGCAATTTTCTTACATTTCTAGAACTTCTGATTCAAATCAACCCCCATAAATGGCACACATGTCCCTTTAATGTTATGAAAGACAACTTCTTTATTAACTCTTGTTATAGACAACAGAAATTTCTAGAAAATTCCTCTGTTGATAGACTTCATTCAATCTTTTGCCTTTAAAAGTCCAAAGTTTTTATTTCAACTTTATTGAACATGAATTATGGTGGTACATTTTATTAACAAGTGACTGGGACTAGATTTGTCAATCTGTTTTATCTGTTTAAGGGAGTCCACATACATACTAATTAGTTATTTTTAGCCTAATCTAAATGTCTTACCTAATCTAAAGAATCTAATGAATAATCAGATTCCTCTCTTTCATATATAGTTTTAATTGGAGGTTTGGAGTTGACCTTTGATCGACCCCTCCAGCGAATAGACCGTTTAGGAAGAGAAACCTGACCTCCTGCAGGCTTATGACTTATATTATCCAGAGACCCAATTTTGGAATGGCCTTTCCAGGTTTTTGGAAAATGAGGAACTTTTTTGCGATGCTTATCTGGCTCATGCTGTATATTGTCCAATGATCCAACTTTTGATTTAACTGTCCACTTCTGTTTCCGAATTTGAGGCAGTTGGAAATTTCCGCCACCAGGTTGATGATGGATGAACTCCAGAGATCTGACTTTAGATTCTGTGGGTTCCTTCCAATCTTTCCTATAATTAGGCAGAATGACGTTTCCTCCCTGAGATATATGATGCATATTGTCTAATGAACGAACATGTGATTCAGTCTCTTCATATCGTGGATTTCGCGGAGGTTTTACGTTCTCTTTGCCTGGTATATAATGTATCTTATTTCTACATTCTGTATGAGCCTGAGCTTCGAATCGTGGAGAAATATCAGGCAAATACAAACCATAATTTTCATAAGAAGGATAACTACGACTTCGAAACTTTCCAAAACTAACATTTTCTAAAGATCCAACTTTTGATTTGGCATTTTCATTCCATTTACGACTTTCACTGAATATTCTTTTTGTGCCACCTCCAGGTTTGTGGTAATACTGGTCCATTGAGCCACATTTAGACTTTTTAGTCCACCCTAAATCCACAGAAGGCAATTTCAGTGCATCAGTCCGACCCAAAAATTCACCATTAATGGCATATACCCATCTGGGTTTTATCGTTCGAAATTTCACCCCAGAGTTTGCCAGAGATGCTTGAACATTGGTGACTCTTCCAACATTTCTATTGCGATGAGTCATTGGATATTTTTCTACCACCACAAACTGTCCATCATTCCGTTGTTTTACATCCAAATAAGGATTTTCATCTGTGATTTCATTATTACTGAGATATTCTACTCTTCTTATAGGAGCAAATCTCATTCCCCCTGTAGGATCCTTGCCTATGTTTGGTTTATATCTTTTATATTCTGGTCCAATTTTCACAGTAGAAGAACCTGTGACCTCCATTTTGATTTTATCCAGTTATCCAGTCCTATGTCTTGTTACACCTTTTTTAAATCCATTTTTGGAAACTATTACACTGAAAAAACTCCTTTATAATTTTGCTTCGCTTCATTCATATAGCTAAGTAATCTTTATAAAACAAATCCTTATTAAACAGTGCACACTTCAAAAAGGTCGCAGAAATCTTGTTAAACCTTCAACCCTAGATCTCTAGTCCAATTGTATTGTAACTAAGTGACATTAGTTGATCAAAAAAGGGGCAAAGTTTTCTTTAGTATCAAAGGCTTTTCATTGTATTGTATCTATTCAAATAAATAGCGATAACATATATTCACTATGTAGCAATTAAAGAGGTATTATGTATTGGATTAAAAGGTATTTGTCTAGTGGCGACACCTAGGCTTTCGATATCACATTAGTCACATAGTAACTATTGAAAAATTGTACCTTTAACCTTATTTATCTGGTTAATTGAGCGTCTTAGAAAGAAATGATAATACATTTTGTTATGTTACACATGTTATCAAATTTTATTAGGATTGTTAAAGATGGGTTCCCTTATTTATTTATGAAAATGAAAATGCTAATACTTATATGAATAGAAAGTAGAGGTGTTCTAATGACTTGGAAAATACTAGTTTGTCTCTCATGTCCAATTAGCAAAATTAGAAGAGAATAACCAGCACAATTCCAAAGAATGACTGATCAAGAAAGGTCAAAAAGTCCTTTTTTGTTTATCCAGACTATCATACATGGACATTTATGATTGGTTAAAAATCTTAATCATATCTATAAGAACATAATGATATGATCAAAAATACATGATAATTCATTAGAAACACCAATTAATCAAAAAGTTTACTTAATTTGACACTAAAAAATAGGGAAACCCATCTTTAAAAGAATTAATACTTCTTAGAATAAACAATTTTTTTATTAATTAAATTTTAGGCAATAATCTATATAGAATGGCTTATTTATTGGAAATCTAAAGGGATATGATTGTGTAAGTATTTGCTTTACCAGCTGATAATCATCAGTTAGCTTACTCTATAGTACTGTGTTCAAATTATGTCACAATACAACAAAAATGGTTTTTTAACTTCTAAATCTTAACAAAATATTTGTTACTATTGTACTCAGGATTTGAAGATTTTACAGATCTCAAATGGATGTATTAATTCACAGAATAGAAGCAATACAAGTCAAGTTTTTATAAACTTTGTCAAATACCTTACCATGACATCATGGGAACTCTTTTGTATCATGGCAGCTTGTAAATGAAGTGATTTGGTTGGATTGTAAGTAATAAACCAATCAAAACCCTCATCAGAAAGACAGACTGTAAACAATGGCTGTATATGTAATAGAGGGCTCCGATTGGCTGTATATCCAAGCATACTATCCAATCAAAATCTCCAATGATACAAAAAATCTATTACGAAGTTCGTAATATCTTGATCAAAATCCGTGATTTATTTTGTCTCAAGAACATACCTCATTATTGATCCCCACCTTCTGGTTGGTGATCAGCATTATCTAATGATCCACATTTTGATGTAGCATTGGATGCAAAATCTACTTTTTCATCATGAATCTGTAAAAGAATGAAAAATGTATGTAAAATCATAGTTTTTTCAGATCCATTTCTGACTGCTAGAAAATGTCAGCACCACCAAACTAAAATGAAAATACATGAATGTTAAACAGAAAAAATATCAAAAACTTAAAGCTACTTTTAAGTTTTTAATTTATTTTGATCATTACAGTCTACATATATTGATCCTTTGACTTCCTCTGATCAAGATTGTTTTGGACTTGCTGGAACAACAGACATCTGACAGGAAACCAATTGATGCCATTGAAAGCTAAACATATCTCCAATACACATAAAAAGGCTAGAAAACCCCTTGAATATCCAGTACAGGACGCAAAATTGTTAGTTTCATCAAAATCAACAAGAGCTATGGGATGGATACCAGTACCTTTTTATCCCCTCCACCAGGTTTGTGAGAAGCGTTATCAAGCGAACCACATTTTGATTCTGCTTTTTCTTTAAATTCTAATTTTTCTGAATGAATCTGAAGCAAACAATAGAAAAAGCTCTGAAAAGCTCAACTTAAAATAAAAACCATGCAATAAGCGTTCTAAATTAAGCAAAACCATTTTCTCAATCTCACATAATTTACATTACAATTAATTTCTCAAATTTTCAGTTTTATTTCAGTAAGATTACATAATGGGTGATTTTCTTTTTGGTTTTCTAGTTCCTAATCTGAAATAAAACATTGGGCAAAAAAGCAGCAAAATATGTAGACCTTATGTAAACTTTTTTGAGTTTCAATCACATCTGTGAGTCAAAGAAAATAAGATTTAGGTGAATGTGCTGGATAGCAACGTAACACAAGATAATCCCTTCTCCCATTGTACATAAATCCAAAGGTTTTACATTTTACAATTACATTTATTGCATGTTCGAGCTAATAAGAACAGGCAATACCATGAAGTGTGCACTGAGGGAAATCTTGCCAAGACATTGCTATTGCTCTTTTTTGATTTTCACATGTCAGAAAAAAAATGGCGTCTAGGTTTAGGCATTTAGACACTTTTTCCAAGTTAACCCCTGACTTTCGAGTTTTACGCCTAGGTCATACCTTGCTGCAATTTTACCACAGTTACGTTATTATGGATAATACAAGAATAAAACATAAAGAAATGTTGTATTACTTGTACGTTACCCCCTCCAGGTGAATGTTTGGCGTTATCTAATGATCCTATTCTAGATTCAGCTCTCCATTCAACTTTCTCACTTAATATCTGGTTTAAGAAACAAAATACAAAAAGATAAGCTAAAAAGCATGATGAACAGCAGATAAGCAACAAACTGAATAAATTAACTAAGACGAGGCAATCTAATTAATATACAACTTTAGATATTCTGTTTTATTCTTTTCTGTGGGTTACTTAGGTCAATACAGATCCGATGACATTATATCTAAGAAGAGTTCACTAATTCAACCAATTAAAATCTCTGAACACCAATTTTCTGTGGGTTACTTACTTGATTTAAGAATATGGGACTAGAAAAATTAGCTTAACTCTTTGAATCCTAGCGACCTGTTTACTGACTACACACTAACGCAATATTTACCCGAGCAGCCGGCATACAACATTAACATCATACGTTTTTACTTTGATTACTTGGAGTTCAGGGTATATGACGTTATATTTCATTTAAACTCAGGGTTCAAAGGGTTAACCCACAGGAAAAAAACAAAACAAACAGAATATCTAAATCTGTTAGTTTTTTAATGATTGAAGATGTACTCCCTTCTTTACACATGATTGTAGGAAAAATCTTTTATCAGGGGATATGAGTGATGAATGAATAAAAGAATGAATGAATGAAAAGGTTAAGCTAAGGTTAAATTATTACATGTATTAATACATGTCAGGTCACCAGTCCTTCAAAGGTTAAATGTCAAAACTTAGACAATTAAGGGCTGAAGATACAATAACCGTGTTTCCACTAAGAATCGTTAAGAAAAGTCAGCTTAGAGCCAGCTTTATTGTCAAACGTGTTGCGTTTACACAGAGTTTAACTGGTTACTGAACGATTTTAGCCTCGATCACAAAGTCGCACATTATTTACAACTCATGATGTACAAGACTGTAAAAATGCAATAGACTGGAAAGCCCAGTATGCCCCCGAAAGAGAGGTTTACATTTCCCAAACCATAATGGTTCGGCAATTTGCCCTGTGGAAACACAAGAAAGCTAGCTTAAAACTAGCTTAAAGCCCACTTTTGCCCTCAGTGGAAACTCAGTTAATATGCCTGTATGTAAGTATTTGTAAGACAATTTTTGACATCATTCTACACCAATTAATAGTAAAAAATATATTAATTAGCTAAATAAAACATCCACCGTTTTTTTTCATGTTATTAGTATTCTAGAAAATTGTTTAATTAACTATTAAAACGTAAATCAACAAAACTACAGTAAATATAAAGAGTTATAAGAGGAAGGGTAACCTGGAAAAAAAATCTGAAAAAGAATGAAAGCTAGCCTACAAAAGACCTGAACTATGTTTTTAAAATATTTCACACCTAGTTTTCTACCTCTACATATTATTTTTCTACTTTTTGTACCTTTTTATCCCCACCACCAGCTTTGTGGGTAGCATTATCCATAGACCCACATTTAGACTGAGCTTTATCTTTAAAATCTAATTTTTGGGTCTCAATCTAAAATTAACAAATACACAGTAAACACAAACACAACATGCAATTTCCATGCATTTTCAATACTATTGCTGAGACAGGAACATTTACATAATATTTTATTCAGTTTTCATTTTTCATTTAATATTAGAATATATGAGAAATAAGAAAAAATATCACTGCTTTTCAAATTATACTTTTACAATAGGAATTTTGCAATAAATTGAAATCAACTATCAGCTGATTGTTGGCAATACTCAAAAATATAACAAAATATAACAAAATATAACAAAATACTAGAAAAACTAAATTTATTCAAAAATCGAGAGCATCAAATTTTCAACTAAAATCTAAAAAAATTCATAAGGGATTTTTTCGATGTAATATGAACTTTTTGAAAAAAATATTGAAATATTTGAAATAAACCAATAAAATACACTAAACTATTTCTACTACTGGGCTACCTTTTTATCCCCACCGCCAGCTTTGTGGGTAACATTATCCATAGACCCACATTTTGACTGGGCTTTTCCCTTGAATTCTAATTTTTGGGTTTCAATCTAAGAAAAAATACGAGGTCATCAAAATGTAATAATTAATAAAAAAAAAAATGTCTTTTTTTCATTTAGCAATTTTTTTTATTAAGAAAAAAATTCTACTATAATTCTAGCTTAATTTTGTACCTTTTTATCCCCACCTGCGGCTTTGTGGGTAGCATTATCCATAGACCCACATTTAGACTGGGCTTTGTTTTTAAAATCTAATTTTTGGGTTTCAATCTATGAAAATAAACAAGGTCATCAAAATTTAGTAATTAATAAAAAAAAAAATTCTTTTTCAAAAACTTATTTTTAGGTTTCAATCTATGAAAATAAACAAGGTCATAAAAATTTAGTAATTAATAAAAAAAAAAATTCTTTTTCAAAAACTTATTTTTAGGTTTCAATCTAAGAAAATAAACAAGGTCATCAAAATTTAGTAATTAATAAAAAAAAAAATTCTTTTTCAAAAACTTATTTTTAGGTTTCAATCTAAGAAAATAAACAAGGTCATCAAAATTTAGTAATTAATAAAAAAAATTTTCAAAACTTAAATGAATTTCAAATGTCTACTGTTCATTTTGCTACTTTTGAGCATTTTTATTTAGAAAAATTCTATGTTAATTCTTGCTTAACTAACTTGTACCTTTTTATCGCCACCTGCGGCTTTGTGGGTAGCATTATCCATAGACCCGCATTTAGACTGGGCTTTATCTTTAAAATCTAATTTTTGGGTTTCAATCTATGAAAATAAACAAGGTCATCAAAATTTAGTAATTAGTAAAAAAAAAAATTCTTTTTCAAAAACTTATTTTTAGGTTTCAATCTAAGAAAATAAACAAGGTCATAAAAATTTAGTAATTAATAAAAAAAATTTTTTCAAAACCTATTTTTAGGTTTCAATCTAAGAAAATAAACAAGGTCATAAAAATTTAGTAATTAATAAAAAAAAAAATTCTTTTTCAAAAACTTATTTTTAGGTTTCAATCTAAGAAAATAAACAAGGTCATCAAAATTTAGTAATTAATAAAAAAAAAAATTCTTTTTCAAAAACTTATTTTTAGGTTTCAATCTAAGAAAATAAACAAGGTCATCAAAATTTAGTAATTAATGAAAAAAATTTTTCAAAACTTAAATGAATTTCAAATGTCTACTGTTCATTTTGCTACTTTTGAGCATTTTTATTTAGAAAAAATTCTATGTTAATTCTTGCTTAACTAACTTGTACCTTTTTATCGCCACCTGCGGCTTTGTGGGTAGCATTATCCATAGACCCGCATTTAGACTGGGCTTTATCTTTAAAATCTAATTTTTGGGTTTCAATCTATGAAAATAAACAAGGTCATCAAAATTTTGTAATCAGTAAAAAAAAAATTCTTTTTCAAATACTTATTTTTGGGTTTCAATCTATGAAAATAAACAAGGTCATCAAAATTTAGTAATTAATAAAAAAAATTTCTTTTTCAAAATTTAAATGAATTTTAAATGTCTACTGTTCATTTAACTACTTTTAAAATCTGAGCATTTTCATTTGGAAAAAAAATTCTACTCTAATTCTAGCTTAATTTTGTACCTTTTTATCCCCACCTGCGGCTTTGTGGGTAGCATTATCCATAGACCCACATTTAGACTGGGCTTTATCTTTAAAATCTAATTTTTTGGTTTCAATCTAAAATTAAACATGCTAAATTAAAAATAAAAACAAAACATGCTTCATTGTGTGAACAAAAAATAAAATGCAATAAAAATCATGCAATACAATTAAAAATGTTAGTGTAGAAAAAAGCAATTAAGCTTTTGCAGTGTATATATACTATTATAGAAATAATAACATGCAGCAGTTTTGATATCTTTGTACATCTGAGTATTCCTTACAAACAGTCACAGTTAATGATAGTTTAGTTTATTTCTATTTAGCATAGACTTGTCTTTAGTTTACAAACTTTACTGTATAAAAAGTATCTTTGAAGTCAGTTAAGAGATCCAACTCTTTACAAATAAAAACCAATATTGGTAGGATCAGTCCACAGAAAGTACTGTTTTATTGTTTTTCATTCTCAATGACATAAACATAGATTGATTTCATCTTGACTATGTTGAATTTCAAACTATGACTTAGAGATCAAGATCAGTTGAAAACTGGCAACTCAAGCTAATGTTGTGCTGATTATAATATAGTTTAAGTACTTTAAGGTCAAATTAACAATTGTACATTGAGTTATTGTCAAGTGCCAATTTAAGGCTGTTCCTTCTTATATTCTGAAACATTTCAGATATGCAATGCTGTCCAAATATACATGATCTACCATTAGGTAACTATGGCTTTTGGTGGATTTCCCAGATGTGCATAGACATTTGTTTTGTATAACATAATATTTAAAGGGACAGTTGGACCATTCTTTTTGACCAATCATCCTTTAATCTGAGAAAGGGTAATTTTTTAGTTAAGCCAATCATTAATAGTGTTCACAGCTCACCATCGAAATTTGAGCCTTGAAATCCATGTGTGTTCGGAATTATCCGCAATTGAATGTTAAAATGACGACTCGTCAATTTAAGATACTCTGATATATATAGAAATTGTAGTCCCTTTAAATGGATTTATAGTACTTCAATGTGGTAACTAATATTTTCTAGAAGTAGAAAATTACCTTTTTGTTCCCACCACCAGCCTTATGTTCGGCATTATCTAACGACCCACATTTACTCGATGCTTTTTCTTTGAAACTTACTTTTTCAGAATAGATCTGACAAAAATCACAAAATTGAAAAAAAAAATGAGAAAAAAAAAATTTTGAAGAAAAAAAAAAAAAAAGTATATGATATTTATGATGATGTGATACCTTTTTTTTTCAAATGTCAAAACGTTTTGTGTAATGCCAAGCATTCTACTATATTTTTCAGTTAATCATATGGTTTTCAGCTTTCAGAAATCTAGTATAAAATTGATTTTGAAATACACCTTACTTTCTGTAGAAAACACAATTGTGTCTTGCTAAAATGAGAAGAAATGCTTAGCCTTTCAGATAAGTCTACTTCCTTAAAAGGAGCTCAGATAACATAGACTTTGTAGGAACTAAAGCAATTTTTATCAATTTTTGGGAAGCTGAAAACCATCCTGGCCGTAGAAAAACAGAATATGGCTTGAGATTACCGTAAACTTTGAGAACAAGTATAATTTTGTGTAAACTATTGGCTCTACCAGCTTAATGGCATTTTCATCCAGAATTTTTATATTAGTAATTTAAGCATTAGATTAGCCTATGTATTGTGCTACTTAGCACTAACACAGTCAAATTATCAGCCCAAAATATTCATGCCATCCAAAATAAGTAACCACCACCACCATGAAATGACATAAAAAGTGAGAATGTGCTAAAACATGTGATAGACCTGATTATTGCCATTGATCTGAAGAATTTTTTTTATTATGAAAGGCCTAAAGACTTTTATCAGCTGAACAATTTTTGTTCAGAGCAAGTGCCTCAGAAATTAAGTATTCAGCTTTAAATGCTGAATTCTTAAGCTTGTTGGCCAAAATAAGGCAAGCAACACTATATAGTGGGCAACGAATAATCAACCAATGAAGCATACATTGCCTCAAGAAAAAAAAAAGGGCACAAGTATGAAAGATGCAGATATTGGAATAGAAAAACAGCAGTAGGCTATGTCTTGGAATTTGGATTTTGAATCTATACCAAAGTCAGGTCTATCACATTGTAAAAGTATGAGGTGCCCAATGAGGAAATGAGAATGATGTTACCTTTTTATCCCCACCGCCAGCTTTGTGGGTAGCATTATCCATAGACCCACATTTAGACTGAGCTTTATCTTTAAAATCTAATTTTTTGGTTTCAATCTAAATGAATGCAAATAAAAAGAAGCAAGTAAGAAATAAAGCCACACCAGCATGCAAGCGTGAAAAAGCAACCTTTTATTTTCCTGAACTTTAACATCATATTCATTATTGTATGTGGTTTAAAGGGACAGAGGCGCCATTTTTTTTTACCAATCATACTTTAGTCTCAGAAACGAGAATTTTAAGCTAAGTTTATCAGTAATAGTGATCACAGCTCATCGTCGAAATTTGAGCCTTCAAATCAATGTGTGACCAGAATTATCGGTGTTAAATGTTAAAATGATGACTCGTCAATTTACGATACTCTGTGATATATAGAAAAAACATATATAGAAATAGTGAGTAAAATTTTTAGTTTGAAGTATTTTTACAGGAATTATACGATTTTCTGGAGACTATTTTCATATATTCAAGAGTAAAATCAACCCCCCAAAATGCCGCCTCTGCCCCTTTAATGAGACCCATATAATGTGCACCTTGTGTCTACATGCAATAGCAAAAGAGTTACATCTTCAGCATCAAACTTTTGACAGGATGTGATCATCAAAGAAAGAGTAACATCTTCAACATTATAAGGAGATCAATTGCTGATAGTGGTATGGCATGCAAGCATTAACACAAAGACGTCAATTTGAAGAAACTATGTATCCTATTAAGACCATAAGAAAATGCTGCTGATGGTGTATATGCAGTCACAGTAATTAAGAGTGAGTGCAAAAGTAATGCGAACCAAAGTGACTATGCACAAAAAACCTAAGTAATTTTGAATTGGACTTATTTTGACAATTACATACATTATAAATTATATCATACAGAGGTTTTGACAACACTGTTCATCGGATAAAACAATGATGAAACTTTACAAGTATGCCACCACAGATTTTTGGAGGCCTTATCAATCGCTGATGGAATCATAGTGAAATACTACACCACATACAAATTTGTCATAGGTTTTAAAACAACAAGTTTATTTAACATTAATCAGTTGCTATTGAACTTTCTATATAACACACTTTAAACAACATCCATGCTTTATTTGAGTAAAATCCAGACCAGGTTACAACAAACTTCTGATTTTTGTCATATATAATTAACAGAAAATTTTGGATACTTTGAAAATCTCTATTTTCTATTCTCTATATCTTGATGATGATGATGTTGGTTATTTTTTTCTATATATTTTACTGATTTATGTGATAACAGACTTTCATTTCTTGATGTAGTTTGTATCAACCATTGCTTTCTTAAGTCTCACTCAGTAAGGGATGGTCCCTTTTCTATTTAAGTATATGCTGTGCTCCCACTGCCAATTTCTTAACCACTAAAATTTGACTCCATATGATCTATCTCACTTATAATAGAACATTTGCTGTCAGTCAAAATGTCACATGATTCTGAAATTCTTAACAATTAAGTGAGAAAATTCAGTCACTATGCTGATTGGATGAAAAAGTTGCTTGGGTTTTCAGTCAAATTGATTCTTAGAACAGTCTTTATAGACAGGTTATGAAGGATTTTAATGAAAATAAATGTGTTGTCAGAACTAAAATTATAGTAAAGTTTGGAGATATAATCCATTGCAGGAAGATTTTCGAGAAGATCTACAATAACATGCATTTTAGAAGTGTCTACAACGAGAAAACTCGATTCCCTTATTCATGCAGTACAATGTATCTGGTATATCCATAAAACGGCATTCTTTAAATGTTTGACATATGAGTTAACACAAGATATAAAACATTCCAAACATTTAAGGACATCTTATGGTTTTTACCTTCACATCCCCTCCACCTGGTGCATGTGATGCATTTTCTAACGACCCAATTTTAGACTCGGTTTTCCATTCACATTTATATGTTTCTATCTTAAAATGAAAATGAATGAACCCTTTTGAATGATATGATGTTTCTTGATCATGGTTTAAGTCAAGTTTTTGTCCTTTGAGAATGTCAACTTCTTTGGTGAACTGCTGTAATTAAACTATTTTGAATTCCACACAAGCTTTCATTTGAAACCAATAATAGCAAACTTGAAGCTTTTAGCACAAAGCGAGATCTAGTTAGATTTTGTTCCATCAAGCACAAAGCATAAAACATAAGACACAAGTCTAAATCCAGTCCAACCAAAATTTGGGTTGATATCAAATCCCAATCACCCAACCTCAGTAACAGAAAGTTTAAAAAGTTAAGATTTTGAAATTAGTATCTATATTATGGCCATGTATTCCATTCTAATTAAAAGTAGACCAAAACTCTGCTTCCACTTTTATAGCTTTTATTTTCAATATAGCCACTTTACTTAGGGTCTAACAATAGCCCTCTTGAACATTCATCAATTTAACCTTTTGACCTAACACCCCATCACAAAATGCTAGCGCTGGAGAGGGTAAAAATTTGATTTGTAAAGCAAATGTCATCGAGTTAGGTCAAAAGGTTAAATTGATGAACATTCAAGAGGGCTGTCGTTAGACCCTAACTGAAGTGGCTATATTAATGATAAAAGCCAATAAAAAAATGTTGTCTGAATAATATCCAGATTTCCTAAGTCTCAAACTATTTCAAAGAATTCCATAATTTTCCACAAAAATTCATGATCCATAACCTTCTGGGTGACAAGGTTGGCTGGTAGGGATTTAATACCAAACCCAGAGAGTTCAAAAACCTAAATCTTGAAACCAGTTCGACAAACCTACCTTCCTTTCACCTCCTCCTGCTTTATGAGTAGCATTGTCCAAAGATCCTATCTTAGATTCTGTCTTCCAATCCAATTTCTTGCTTTCAATCTAAATGTAACACTTTTAAATTAGATTTCGAACAACATAGTTGTATACTATTAAATGATTTTTTTGGCATTAATTTTTGTAGATTTTTTCCTAAGAATTCATTGATTCCTGTGTCTTATAAATATGTTATCTTTGTATGTTGATAATATGAATTATTTGATTGGCAAATTGATGATATTCATGAAAATGAAGCCAACTTGAATAATACTAATTTCTCATACAGTAATTGTCTATTAATCCCTATTTAATTTTATATTTCTGTTTCCCAAAATATTTTACTTATCATAGAAGTTTATTTCCTATTTTCAGATCAGAAAGATATTTGCCCATATAAGCTCTATCAAGTCCAATGGAAAGTGATTGTCTCCTACAGGTGAACTTTAGATTCTAATGTGCTGCTGAGCAATCACACTTCAGAATTCTAATTGGAGCAAAGCAATCACACTTCAGAATTCTAATGTGCTGCTAAGCAATCACACTTCAGAATTCTAATTGCAGCAAAGCAATCACACTTTAGATTCTAATGTGCTGCTAAGCAATCACACTTCACAATTCTAATGTGCTGCTAAGCAATCAAATTTCAGAATTCCAATGGCAGCAAAGCAATCGCACTTCAGAATTCTAATTGCAGCAAAACAATCACACTTCAGAATTCTAATTGCAGAAAAACAATCACACTTCAGAATTCTAATGTGCTGCTAAGCAATCACACTTCAGAATTCTAATTGCAGCAAAGCAATCACACTTCAGAATTCTAATGTGCTGCTAAGCAATCACACTTCAGAATTCTAATTGCAGCAAAGCAATCACACTTTTGAATTCTAATTGCAGCAAAGCAATCACACTTCAGAATTCTAATTGCAGCAAAGCAATCACACTTCAGAATTCTAATTGCAGCACATTATGACATGTGACTTATTTGCAGATTTGTTTCCAGCATTGTCCTTGCATAATGAGGCTATATTTCCATATATCATGACCTTTTTATTTTGTCCAAGGTTTTTTCAGACTGGATGTAAAAATCACAATCAAAGGAAGGATAACTGTTAAACAGATAATTGACAGCATTCATAAATTTAGGTAAAAAAAACAAAAGTTGGAAATACTTAAGGGAAATAGATTCAAAACACGTTATAAGTACACTACTACTACTAATGTTTCTAATAACTACAAGTAAATTCCTCTAACAATATAACCCTTAATTAGCTGATAGTCCAACATTGATAAAAGCAGCCATTTTTTTCACCAATTAAGGATTATTGGTAGATGTATTAGTAAAATCAAAAGTGACAAACCAAGCAGGGAAAACAATTAAAAAAATCATGCTCAAAATAAAAACATCAAAGTGAGAAAAATCAATGAAATGAAGTCGGACAGGGAACAAAATCTGAAATTTAAACGACTTGCAGTAAAATGCGTTACCATAGTGACCTACCTTCTTATCGCCACCACCTGCCCTGTGTTTGGCATTGTCCAGGGAACCAATCCTTGACTCTACCTTCCATTCCAATTTCTTACTTTCGATCTATTAAAAATATGCACCACAATTCTTTGAAAAGCATTTTTATGCACATGCATGTGCTGTGTGACCTACTTTTTTTCTGTGTACATCAATATCACTATCCTGTAAACTTGAGTGTTGAAATAAAGTGCAAAATTATGCAGTCAAATTTTAACTCTCAGCAAAGCCTCTATGTTATTTCAAAATGCATGTTAAAGCCTGTACTACATGTGTTTTTTTCTAATTTTAGTTGTCATGATTCATGATGATGATAAAAACTAAACTATAAAAACATCTAAAATACATTTTCTTTCAATTTCTTATCCCAATTCTCAAAAGCAAAGACATATTATGACAGAATTGAAAGAAAATGCTTTGAAAAAGGAAGGCAAAATGTACATTAGATCCTTAATGACATGAAGCATATTTTCTAGTTTAAATCTTTACTATTTCATTTCGAATGTCTGCCGTTGAAATAGCAAAACTTATGAATATTAAATTCTACAACCAGATGTGAATAATTAAGCCCAACACAAGGAAATTTTCACACCCAAGATGGAAAATGTAAGCCAAAAGTGGGGTTAAGAATAAAAGCAAAAAAGCACACCAAACAAAAAATTAAAACAAAATGCACACCAAGAACCTCTAAACTGATTATAATTGTACCTTGCGTTCCCCTCCAGCTGGCTTGTGTTTGGCATTATCCATCGAGCCAATTTTGGACTTGACTTGTGTCACTTCCACTTTCTTGGTTTCAATCTTGACATTTCCACCCCCTGAAAGAAGTAGTATTCCTGTGGTTCAAGGTTCCATGACTGGATAACTACTAAATAATTTCAAGATTCTTCATTGGTCAACTTGAGAAGTCAAAATGAATAAATGATGTATGCATAACTGACACTATTGTTCAAAAAAAACCTCAATAATGGATGATGATATTGGATGCTCTGAGTGGTAATCTGCAAACATCCATCCAAATCATCAACAAGTGTACTTGGTTCTATAAGAAAGATGACTTGCAATAAGTTTATTACACCAGAGAATCACATATACAAACTTGTCGAATTCATGGAAACGATTTCATTCAAAAGACATCCATTGAGCAGCAAATTTGAACTATTTCAACCCAAGATGCCTAATCCATCTTCTTTTACATGTTGTCTGATGTTTCAAAACTTGTGAATATACCTCTACATGAAACTCAAGCAGAAACTGACCTGGTTTGTGTGTGATCTTATCCTTGGAACCAATTCTACTAGTAACATTTTTGTAATCAGTTTTCTTATCCATGATCTTGACCTGAAAATAGGAAACAAATTGGATTAAAAGAAAGTCTGCTTAAGCAGTCTCTTAGACTAAATCAATCTCTTGAAAATTATCCCATTCAATCTCTTGAACATTCAGCCCAGATATTTGGAGACTTTAGCAATCTCTTGAAAATTTATCCCACATATTTAGAGACTTTAGCAATCTCTTGAAAATTTATCCCACATATTTAGAAACTTCAGCAATTTCTTCAAAATTTATCCCACATTTTAAGAAACTTTAGCAAGTTCTTGAAAATTTATCCCACATATTTAGAAACTTAAGCAATTTCTTGAAAATTTATCCCACATATTTAGAAACTTAAGCAATCTCTTGAAAATTTATCCCACATTTTAAGAAACTTTAGCAATCTCTTGGAAATTTATCTCACATATTTAGAAACTTTAGCAATCTCTTGAAAATGAATCCCACATATTTAGAGACTTTAGCAATCTCTTGAAAATGAATCCCACATATTTAGAGACTTTAGCAATCTCTTGAAAATTTATCCCACATTTTAAGAAACTTTAGCAATTTCTTGAAAATTTATCCCACATTTTAAGAAACTTTAGCAATCTCTTGGAAATTATCCCACATATTTAGAAACTTTAGCAATCTCTTGGAAATTTATCTCACATATTTAGAAACTTTAGCAATATCTTGAAAATGAATCCCACATATTTAGAGACTTTAGCAATCTCTTGAAAATGAATCCCACATATTTAGAGACTTTAGCAATCTCTTGAAAATTTATCCCACATTTTAAGAAAGTTTAGCAATCTTTTGAAAATTTATTTCACATATTTAGAAACTTTAGCAATCTCTTGAAAATGAATCCCACATATTTAGAGACTTTAGCAATCTCTTGAAAATTTATCCCACATATTAAGAAACTTTAGCAATGTCTTGAAAATTTATCCCACATTTTAAGAAACTTTAGCAATCTTTTGAAAATTTATTTCACATATTTAGAAACTTTAGCAATCTCTTGAAAATGAATCCCACATATTTAGAGACATCAGCAATCTCTTGAAAATGAATCCCACATATTTAGAGACTTTAGCAATCTCTTGAAAATTTATCCCACATTTTAAGAGACTTTAGCAATCTCTTGGAAATTTATCCCACATATTCAGAAACTTTAGCAATCTCTTGGAAATTTATCCCACATCTTCAGAAACTTTAGCAATCTCTTGAAAATGAATCCCACATATTTAGAGACTTTAGCAATCTCTTGGAAATTTATCCCACATATTCAGAAACTTTAGCAATCTCTTGGAAATTTATCCCACATATTTAGAGACTTTAGCAATCTCTTGAAAATGAATCCCACATATTTAGAGACTTTAGCAATCTCTTGGAAATTTATCCCACATATTCAGAAACTTTAGCAATCTCTTGGAAATTTATCCCACATTTTAAGAAACTTTAGCAATGTCTTGAAAATTTATCCCACATTTTAAGAAACTTTAGCAATCTTTTGAAAATTTATTTCACATATTTAGAGACTTTAGCAATCTCTTGAAAATGAATCCTACATATTTAGAGACTTTAGCAATCTCTTGAAAATTTATCCCACATTTTAAGAAACTTTAGCAATGTCTTGAAAATTTATCCCACATTTTAAGAAACTTTAGCAATCTTTTGAAAATTTATTTCACATATTTAGAGACTTTAGCAATGTCTTGAAAATTTATCCCACATTTAAGAAACTTTAGCAATTTTTTGAAAATGTATCCAACATATTTAGAAACTTTCGCATCAATATAGTCCATCGATTTAGAAATTATCATTATTCAAACTGTAGCTGGTTCCCAAATTTGTAACTGACTTGAAAATTGGGTCCATAGAAATAAGTAATCTCTTGAAAACATACTTTTGTTAGTATAGATTTATTTATTGAATACGTTTGAGTGATCTTTCTATATATGACAAAATAAAAAAAAAATTTGAATCTCCAATAAAAGAAATGTATTGGTAATCTGATTTAGACTGAAGCTATAATTATCTAGAATTACATTCACCTTGACTGAATCTATTGAAAATTTCAAATTCCACAATATCTTTACAATGCCCTAAGAAATCAATGCAACTACTTGGAAACATTCTTCAATATTATTGTGTTATCATACTCAATAAAAATTTCTTCTATAAAATAAAATAGAATTCCAGATAGAAGACTCAGCAACTAAATGTATCGTTTGCAGTGGCTTTTCAATTACCCCCTACAAAAAGAGACAGACCTGCTTTACCTCATCCCCCCACCAATCCACACACTTTTTAATTTTCAATGTTTAGCATGGAGAGTCCCCTTTGTCATTTCTGTACCTTCAGCATACCCCTCTGCCACTTTCAAATTTCTTGTCTTATTTTATTAACCAGTAAAGAATTGCAAATACATATTGCAATACAAGGGTCACGATACAATACACATCGCGATACAAGGGTCACGATACGATACACATCGCGATACAAGGGTCACGATATGATACATATACGATATAGGGTAATGGGATTTAAATTAACATTTTATCTTCAAAGTTTCTATATTATATTAATAGGAGTTGATAAGAGTGGTTAGCGTCCACTGTCTTGTAAAAAGTTTTTAACAATTTCAGTGGAAAAAAATTTTTTATTATAAAACAACTTATAAATATCCCCACTTTTTCATGGAATAAAATGTATCGCCAAGTATCGATACATGACGTCGATTCACTGATACATCATGCCAGCACTAATAAGAAGACATAATGAAATAATTTTCTGACACAATTTTTTTCAGCCAAAAATTGTTTCATTTGGACTAAATGTGATTACTTCACTTTGTTGTCTTAAAAGCAAATCATCGAAATTGATTTAGGATTTGTCAAAACAATTTCAAATTATAAAATATTTAAAAAAAAAAATGTCAAATCCCACTCAGGAAAAGAATTTAAAAAAAAAATTACTTAAAATAAGTTTAAAAAAATTTACCTTAAGATTAATGACTAACAAGACTTCCTTAAAGTAGGTTTTACTTATGATTATAGCCAGACAGCTATCTATAGCACTGACAAAATTCTAATGAATTAAGTTAAAAGGGTTATTATTATGATATATTGTACCTATATTGATACTATACAGTTATTATTGACCTATCTAATGTATGTTTACCAATCACTTCTATAGCTACCGTACAATATCAATACCCTTATCATTGAGAACCTTTTTTCATTTCACTCAACCCCTAAACACAACCCTCTCTTATCACATAATGATTAATCAAATACTCTAGATCTACATACAAAATCTCTTTCTTCTTTCATAAAAGACCTGATCCAACTTGACATAGATTTCAACTTCTTATATTATTATGAAATTCCGCACTTAGACTAATGAGTTTTAATGAATAGTTTATTGAGACTACTTTGATCATACCTAATCACCGATATTAAGACATTAATAGAACTTGGGGACCTATATCATACCTTGCTTACTCTTTCAGAAACACCTGATGGTACTTCACTTTGGAGGAGTCCACTACTATACAACTTTTTCTCTTGATTTTGCCAAACTTAAGACGAAATTTTGATCTACGGATTTTAATTCCATATTGGCACCTTCCATCATGGGCGATAAATTAACAAAAGATCAACATTGATTGCAGAATCTCTCTTGAAAAAGATTTTTAATAGGTCAAAATGCTGCGCACTGTACCCCCACAAATATACAGTATCTGTTAGATAGTCTGATTAAGAACCTACAAAACGAATTTGCCATTTAGCCTAGATCTTTTTTGAAATGTGGATAACTTTCATTCCATGTGGCTTGTTTCCAAAGCAATTTAACTCAGCATACAAAGTACATTAGCCAGTTATGTATGACTATGGTATAAGAAAAACACCTTATTTGATATATCTAACATAAAACTTCTGAAAATTGTAAACTATTTTTTCTTTTTTCAAAGACAAATTATTTCTCACTTCTCAGTCAAAATGTGTAAAAATGTTTTAAAAATCTTCAAATTACATTATGAAAACACTTCACCTTTTGAAGCTATGTAACACTATAGCCTACAGTATAAGATATTGTAAAAGGATCTTTAATTCAGTCAAATATACATTACCTCACATTTGATCTTGAATAACAATAGGTTCAAACTGTGAGTGTATTGTATATTTGAATTAAATCAAGATCCTTTTACACTATATTATTCTGTTACGGCAAAAATAACACTAATTATAAGTGTACACTAAACATTGTGCACATCCCAAAAGGAAGATCCATACTTTACAAGTATAACACCAGGATCTACCAACTGCCTGTCATTGGACAAATTTGATCGTTTGATCGCGGATTATCCATAACCATTTACAATTGGGTCGATTGGAATAATGAGGAAAGATGACTTATTCAAGATCACCAAGCTTTCACACACCAACTGAGATTAGAACCAGCAACCACTATTTGTTTGACTTAACAAAGCAAAAGATATCATGAAAATCTGTACAAGCAGGATAATTGCATTAATCAAAATCAAAAAGTATAGCAAAAATCAGGAGTAAAAGTTGTATAGTAGTTGACTCCTCCAGAGAGAAGTATCATCAGGTGTCCCATTATTCAAGCATGGGACAAGTAATTGAAAAGTGTTGCATATGGTATATGCCTGAAGAATAATATGCATTACATGTATTCAAAATTTCAATATTTTTCTCATTCCTGTATAATAATGTGCATAGCCTAGGCATACAAAATTTCATAGAATGTGTAAATGCCTATAGCACCTTCATATAAATACATGCTATAAATGCATGTGGAAGCCATGTCAACAAAAACAAAATTTGTTAACTTCAAAACAGGCTTAAGACAACAAGTAGTATTATTAGTAGTAAAACCTACAAATTCATTGTAAAAAATCTACTATTAGTCTTAGTTAGATGACACTGCCAATTATAGTCATATACAACTGTCCCTAGATGACGTTACTATAGCAACCATATTATTCCTGGTTTCCAAGACTATCAAACAGGTTAGGTTTCTACTAGAATGTGTAGTGTAAAGGTTAAGTTCAGTGATTCATTGCTCAGCTTTTAATACATCAATGTTAATTCATGTAATGGGCTTGGAAGACAGTCTTTAGCTAATTAAATTGTACCATTTTCAGTACTAATGTATACTATTATGGCGCTATAAATCGGAAAAGGCTGTAGCTCAAAATATTGAATGGTTTAAATTCGTTTGACATCATTTGCTAATGTATGCATGTACAAAAAACTAAAACAAGCAACAATTGTTCCTTACAACTAGACAGTTGTCATTTTTGTTCAGTAAAAAAATATGCTGACACTTGATATTTTGCAGTTGGCTAATCCATGAAACAGGATCTTTTTCAGAGAGTTTACATGGTAATTTGTGATTTTCCACGATGCTATCAGAATAATTTGACATCAGAAATGTCCTTGCTAAAGCCTTTTTATTCAGGGCATAAAATGATAGTCTGAAATTAGGTATATCTATATCAAGATTTTGCTAGGATTTATGTACAGGTGTAGCCTAATAAATGGAAGTTTTGGAAGATTATATTCATCTTTCCAAAGAAGATTGGCGCTAGCTGGTCAAAGTCCATCAAAAAAATTTGACTCTATGCTAGCTAATCACCATCTAAATCACATTCACAGTTCAGCTATGAGTGCGTCTGCAAGACACAAACTAATAAACAAAGTTCAACACTTACATTTCCACCTCCTGGTGTATGTTTTGTCTTATCTAATGATCCAATTTTAGATTTGACGTTACTGGTATCTGGTCTTGGTGAGGGTGTTGATAGAGGGGTTCTTGGGGTGGGGGTTCTCTTAGCTGGAAAGAAACAGAAACAGGTTTTAAAATATTGTCACTGAAATTGAATGAAATTAGAAAATATGTGCTCACCTTTAAATCCTTGCTGCTTGCAAAAAGAAAAACTCAAAAACACATGTTAGTACATTGTAACGGGGCTTACACAAATTCAACTGCCTCAAGAATTATATTTTCTGGAGTTCTACCCTCAAAAGCAAGCCTTTCCATGATTTCGCAACTTTTCTGTATTTCTTGGTAGGGGCTTGATTTCAAGGTAATGATCCAATACATAGTTTTTATTTCGGGCCAAAATTCACCATGTAAATTGATTATATCATAATTTGTTCCTTCATGGATATTTTGGAACTCAAGCATGACACCACTGTCAGCAACATAGAACATTCTTGATGTAGGGTATGCTATATCAGGGCTGTTGAGCTGTTTTTTTCAGTCAGTCATATCACAGAAATTTTAATCAATAGGTATAAAAGAATCCATTTGTGACTTAGTTGATTAGTTTATGTACTAAATACTTGTCTACTTTACCGTATCTCAAAGAGAATAATTGAAAAGCATGAAAAAAAGAAATAACCGACCAATTCTGCTGGGAGATGCCTTAGGTGATGCTTTAGGTGAGTCTACAGGTTTGGAAGCCATCTTGATTTTTGCAAAAGTATAAAAGTTTCTGAGGTATATAATAACACAGTATATGTTATAAGGCTGCCTTAAATTGAGCAAATACAAATCCTTTCTTTACACCACACCAACTGTCATTCAGACGGCAAGAGCTAACATGAAGTTACTTTCTCAAAATTTTTAGAACACATTTAAGTCATAGTCATTAATTCCAAAACAGTACTTTCTAGTCCAGTCTTTTGAATTCACATTTCTGAAAAAGAATGGATACTTCAAATAGGATTCCAAAATTTGCAATAGATTCACAGACATTTTGTTCATGAATTCCATCTACTAAAGACCTAACTATGTGAAAATTATCAAAAATGCCAACATATCATTTTACACAGCTCCTGGCATATTTTGATAATATGATGGAATGGTTGATCACAAAATTCATAGATGACATCCAAATGTTCAATCCATTGGTATTTTAATGCCGTCTGTGAAGCTTGAAGACCAAGATCGACAAAAAAGAACCTGGCAACGTATTCTCAACAATTTTAGCGCTAGGATGTCCTAGGCTCTTAACTTTTTACACTGTTTTTAAGATATCCTAGCGCTAAGATCGTTTTGAGACATTGTGGCTTGGCTGTCATCACCAAACAAATGATTAATCAACATTAATTATCAATTATCAATTCGCACCAAAGGAGCAACCTCATGATCTCACTGAAATACAATTTGCACTATAGTGATGGACATAGGACAATACACAAAAGACCATTGCTCAGTTTTGCAAACAGAAGCTCAAACTATCCATCATACACATAAGAAATTCCAAATCACTGCCATTTTCAAACAGCTGATCAAAGACTATCAGAGTTTAAATGGAACCAAAGAATTTAAACATTCATTAAAACCGCTAACAATTAAAACACTTAAAATAGTCTTAACACAACCTCCTGAAATCCTGCTGTTTTCATGAATCCAAGAAAGAATTATTCCTGAAAACTCTAAGAGAAAAGTATTTCCGTTTACTTGATAAGTTATTCAGATTACCATATCATGACTGGAACATAAAATCAATATGGCGCCAATAGCTCTAGCAGAATAATTTCTATCAGGAATTATTCCGCCTAGATCATTCATTTTATGGCACTTTTATGGAGAAAAAAATTGGTTTGATGTAAAGAGCTTTGATTTATAGGAAGGTCTAATGTATATTTAAAAATGCAATTCCTTGATAATCGACCCTAAGAAAAATACCATTAGAATGCTGTTGTTTTTTGCAGTATGCAAGAAACGATATAGTTTTTTTTAAAACATTCTAAAACTTCGACTAAGGAACATACAATTTTACTGGTAAGCATATTTCCAATTTTCTATAAACATTTTTAAAAAGTTTAAGTGATAATTTTTTTTTGGATTTGCTGACATTTTGGAAATAAGAAATTTTGTTATACTTAAGTAAGTGTTTGTCCAATGTGGTTGTTGGCAATTTTCAATCTAGTTGAAACCTTTCAAATTGACGAATCATGAAGTATGCCTTATTGATGCTTCAACAGCTTCATTTGAGATCAGTTACTATTTATAGACAAGATGACATA